GGATGGGAAGAGGATGAGCAGAAGAGCCATGGAGCCCACGGGACTCCCAGGAGAAGAGGAGGAGGACTCAGCCCCTTTCTGCTTTTCTCCTGCTTTCCTCCAGATCCAAGCTTGAAGCAATGGTGGGAAGGGGCAGCAGCCGGTGGATGGAGATCATGCACTCCTGACTCGACTGACACTGATCCTACTCACTTTTCACTGCCTGAAAGACCACTCAGTAAATTCACCCGGTGCTCACCTAACCCTCCCATCGCCCAGTGCCTGTGCCTAGACTTTAACACTGGCTCATCTCGCCCAATTCTTAGTTTCTCTGCACTTCTCTCATGACACATGAAAGGCCAAGTTTACTCTTCACTGGGAGCAAATAAGCTACGTCAGGGATGCAAAACAGCTCAGGGAGAAGTGGAGATCAAAGCCCAGTGTAGTTGGTCCCTCAAACTGAGCTGCTGTGGGAACTTTTTCATCATCAGTTTTGTCCGCCACCGGAGCATGGGACAGGGAGGGGGATCATTTGACTGGAGAGTGACGCGTTTTAAGACAGGACACTCACCTGGGGCTCAACCAGCCATGTTTTCGGTCTCGTTCCAGGTGCAGGCCGGTAGAGGTAAGCAGAGTACACGGGAATGCGCAGGTTACTGTCGTACAGGGTGGCAAAAAAATACTGATTCTGGTAACGCTGGCAGATCCAGGCTGGGTTCTGCGGCTGCAGGGCTTGATTTGGGGGGGTTTGCTGGAAGAAGAACTGAGGGCATGAACTTTCAAAAGATGTCACCACCTCGCTGCGTCCCGGCCAGAGGCAGCTCGCCAAGACCTGCAGCAGCAGCAGCAGCAGCAGCATTGCGAGGAGGATTTGCAGTGAAGGGCTCTGGCTGACCTGGAGAGAAAATGCAGAGAGAAACTCAACCAGGAGAAAGCTCATCATGGCCTGGAGTCATTTTTGTGCTTGTGAGACACGGCAGGCAGAGGAGGGAACTATGAGAGACCAATGAGGGAACAACTCCTGTCCTCCTGGATATGGAAAAGTCAACAGGGGAATAAGGGTGAAACCTCCAATAGGATTTAGGTGCCCAGAGGAGGCGGCAGTGGGAGAGTTTAGCCCATCTGAGGAGGGATCCAATCCCACCCCATGTCTAACCAGCTCACACAGCAGAGATTTCTTGGACCTGAGGCATGACCTTGGTACAAGGCCACCTTTTCCAGCCTACCTGTGTTGGCCAGGAGCTCAGCTTTTGCATTGGCACCAGAGAAAAAAAGCCTGAAGTGAGCCAGGGTCTGCGAGCCCCTATTTCAGAAGAGCATCTCGCTCCCTTCTGCCCTGAGGACCTTCCTGCAGCAGAGGACCTGCAGCTGGGCACACACTCTGCCCAGCCACCTGCAATGCTGAGCTGGGATTTAGTCAGGCAGGGGATTTGGAAGGGAAAGAACAGTGATGCTCTGCTTCCTGCATGTCTCCAGCCCCGTCCAAGTTCACACAGACATACAGCTCTTCCACACCTCCTCTGTGCTTGCAGCAGGATTCATCTCCCCTACAGTTAGGTCAGATGTTTAACCCAAGTGGTCCAGCTTGAGGTCCCTTCTCTCAGACAGCTGATGTTGGGAAATGTGTGTCCTGCTGCTGCATTTTCGAGTTGTCCAACCTCCGACAATGACCTTAGAGACAGGGAAGGGGCCAAGGAGATGGGAGCAGCGAGCACGAGGGATGACGTCTCTGATCTCATCAGCACCCTGGCTGCTGCTGGAGCAATGCAGACGTTGAGGGGCAGCTCAGGATCCTGCTGAGCCACATCCTTAGCTTTGCTCATTGTTTTTCCTGGACAGTAAAAGGTGCTGGTGCAGGAATGTCTATTTCTTGAACAGAAAGAGGTCCTATTTTGTCTTTCTCAGGTCTTGACGTGATTTTCAGCTGTCAGCAGGATCTTCCTTTTTGGAGAAAACTGCCGAGAACTTCCCTGCTCTGCTGGCAGCCATGCAGGGTGCTTTCTCTTCTTTCAGATGCACCACAGGCTTTGGGGTAGCAGTGATATTTCCATTTCCATTGCCAGACATTCAGCAGAGTGGTTTTCAAATAATTAGCATTTTAAGTAAGGCAGGCAGGACAGGCAGCTAAAAGGACTCCTGGGAGACAAAGCTGCCCTGGCCTCTAAAACACAAAACCTACCTTTGGCTGGGGAGGTGTCTGAGCTGAGGACTACGGACAGCCTGGAAAGTCACCTTGCATATTTAGTCCTTTCTTATTCTTTCCCCTCACCCTCATCTATTAATTTCCATTGGACTCAGGATATGGGGCTAGATATACCCTTGCTCTGACTCAAGACATCTGGTCCTTCATCTCTGTACCAGCGCTGGATCAGGAACGTGGTGACCAGTAAGCTGAAAACTGAGAAAAGTGAAGCACAAGAAGTGATTCAATACTCTCCAGAGCATGACCCTATCTGCCCCAGCTCAGGCAGAAAAGTTATTGAAAAGCCCATCTTTCGCACCACTCCCTCCACAAGCTGAAAATCTATCGAACTAACTTAATATCAGATATATAGAAAACAACCTACCGTGTGAAAGAGCAGCACATAAACTTTTTTATTCACAGGACTCTGCTCAGACCATGAGCAGAAGACTTTCAGTTGCCTCTGCTACAGTCTGAAACTGTCTGTGACCTTAGGGCGGTTCATATATGATCGCCAGGAAGGCAGAGTTGTTAAATTTCTCAAACAGGGTTTAGAGTAAGTTTGTCCAGGGGTGGAGCCAGGACCTGTGTTTTTTCCAGAGATCTTCTGCAAGGTCATAGGTGGAGTGACGGTACTCAGTATACTCCCCCCTCGCCCCTTATTCAACAGTTTGATGTGAATTTTCCAGGTGACTTGGCAACTGAAACTTAATCATGCATAGTGTTTTATGGCATTTCTGATAACCTTGAATCAAGTCTTCCCTACAGCTGTGAGACAAACTCTGTCAGTGGGCCAAAACAAGACCTTGAATCTACCCTTTCCCAACGTTGCACATGGAAGAGGGCACAAACCCAACTCCCCTCTGCTTGGTGCATGCTGTAATCGACAGGCAGAAATTCGTAAGATAAGTGATGCTGCCAGATCAGCTGTAGAAGTGGTGCCTGGCTGCACTAGGCACATTCAGCTCAGGAGGAGACTCTGCACCCAGCATCTTCGGGGCATCTTCTACAGCCTTTGTCAGACTCCTGTCCTATAGACAGGCATCCAGGCACAATCCCGTGCCTGGTGTTGGCTCTCAGCTAGCCAAGACCTTGCTGGATCCTAGGGTATAATTCATTCTGAAACACATGTCCAAGACAGGCAGGAGAAATTGCAATTGTGAAGACAAACAGTTAAAGAAAACCCAACCATGATAGAATCTGTTTTTGTACAATTAAACATCTCAGTTCACCATCAGGCATCTCCTTGTGCATCTGTTCCCAAGGCTTCCCATGCTGATCACTTCCCTGAAGCATTCTTGGCCAGATCCAACATTTGGCTTGGGCAGCAGATGAGCAGCAGGAAGACTTGCCACCACTTCAGAGTATCCCACCAGGTTTTGGTGACTTTTCCAGATAAGTGACACATTGCCAGCACTGCCCAGGGCTGCGCATCTAACGGGTTCTTGGGGGTCAGCTTCTGGGAGTGCCAGCTCATAGTAGGCTAGTTTACTTCCTTTGGGAATAGCATTCTTTCTTCCAGGTTTTGATCTGAGCATCACCAAAAGTGAAATTTTTCCTGGACCCCAACTGATTTTATTATTTTCTCAAAGACTAGGGATTAGTTCATGTGGTGACAACTTCCCAGCTTCTCTCAGTCTCTTCTGCATCTAAGTGTCTCTCCCATATTCTACAGATCTTTGCTTTTCTGTGCTTGAGTTTCTTTCCCAAGTAATTCCTTCCATCCTTGCCCTCCCTAATATAAAATGTTAAAAAGCTGCAAAATACACTGCATGCATAAACTCTCATTTTCTCTTGGGAGGGGTGATGTTAGAGCTCAGTAACTGTATCCCACCCTTTGTCTGCTGTATTTATTCTGAAGCTTAAGGAAACACTCTAAAATAAATATTGCAGTCAATGGTGAGAAAGGAGCAAGAACTAACCTTGGAGCAGAGTCTCCAAACAAGCAGCTGAACCGTCACTTCGCTCTTCCCCCTGGAGAAACGGTTGTCTGATCCCTCAGGAGTCCCACTGCAATATATAGCTGGTCATAAATCCTCCCCTTTTCATAAAAGGGGAAAATCACAGAAAATAGATTATTTCTGTTGTTGTTATTCAGGGTAGATTCATTCACGCTTGCCAGAAATGGGTTGACAATTGCTATTTCCTCAGGATTTCTCCCAAGCTTGCTGACTTGCAGCATCACGTATCAGAAGCAGATAACTGTGCCTGGTGATTTCCCTTTCCCTATCCTCATTCCCCTGGAGCACTGCCACTGCTGCTGCAGCACCTACACACGTTTCTCTTCCTGGCAGACTTTTTCTGATGGCGTTAGACCGACCAGCCTCTCTCTGAGTGCACACAGATGTTCATCATGTGCTCTTCTTCAGCCTCTCAGGATATAATTAAAATGGTTTGGCTACGTATTTTCCCTGGCCTGATTGTAAAGGTTTTGTCACAGCCCTTATTAACGCCGTCCCACAGATCCCGCTGCTTTACAGCCCCTGCTGAGCCCGTGTTCCAACAGGATCGCAATCTGCCCAGAAAGGAGGTTTGATGGGGACAGGGTTTCTCCCCTTAGGGGTGGATAAAAGGGATTTGGGCGATGGATACAGAGATCAAGGTTTGGTAGGCTGCACCCTCTCGACATCAGAGAGCAGAGG